TTCCTCCATTAAAATTAATTAAAAGCTCCTGTTGACTGATTCTCTACTCCAAAGAAAGTTGATAGCTTTTCCCTTAGTTTTCAGCTGGCATTTTATTTAATGTATGCTTTCACATTCTGCAGAGCTTTTTTCCCCCAGCTGTTTCCTTCAAATGTCCCTTTTGCCTCAGCTTGAGCAAAATGATCAGCTCTGACCACTTACATGAAATTAATTATTCTGCTGTGCATTTGATAGACCTGAAATGCCATTTCTGCCTCCTCCTCCAAGCCACCAAGTATGTCTTTATTAATGAGAATCTGAAGAATACCAAAGCAATTTACAAGTCGTTCCTGCATCCCTTTCATTTGAATCTCATACAGCCTGTCTGTTTTGACGCCTAGATCTGTTCTTATGCTTGAAACTATTCAATTTGTTCCTTCCTTGCAACTTCTCCCTCTTCCCCTCTTCCTCTCCTCACCACCATTCTGGGAAATATTCCTAGTCATTCAAAATGCACACAGCCTTGGAGCCTGATATCACAAGTTGTGAAGTGTTAAATGGCCCCGGGAAATAAAAAGGGAGAAATCAGCAAGCATGCATTCTACCTACATTCACCTGGGGTTCTCACACTCTAAGAAAAAGAGGTCTAGCTTCTAACGATCGCCAGTTCCTCCAGTTGTCAGACAACTGGTTCTGCCTACGTGTAGGTCACTCTTTCACACACACACACACACACACAAAGTCTCTTCTGATGAAACGAAGGTAATCTTGTGCCACCTTGATCTCCAGCCATTCCTTTACAGTGAGGGAGTGAGTGGGTGGGTGGGAGTTGTAATAGTCTGGCAAAAGAATCAACCTGCCTGGTGTGGGAAGAAATCGCTGAATAGAGTAGACAGAAGAGACGTTCAACTCTACCTGGCAGGTCTGGGTTAAGAGTACTCCTCCGTCTCCGGTGCTTATACAATCCCCCGGGCGCTTGTGGCCGAGCAGAACTGAGCAAACTTTGGCAGCAGCAGCCGGTTTCTCTCGGGCTACCTTGTGCAGCTTAAAAAAACAGGCGGGATCCCGACCTCGGCGCCCTAATTTCTTCCTCCTCCTCTTGTTCTCCACCGAGGGCTGGTGGCGTTTGCCTCCGGTGCCCCTGCGGCCAGCTCCGGCTCTGCGGAGCGCTTCCTTCCCTTTTCTTCGCCTCGCTCTCTTACGAGGCAGCGACCACATCCTCCCCCTTTCTCCTCCAACGCGAAGCCTGGGACTCCAGCATCCCCAAGAATGCCCGGGCAGGCGCAAGCACGCGCGCGCACACACACACACGCCTCTTTTCCCACCTCCCAGTGGCGGGGTGGAAGCAGCGGGGCGGGGGAGGGGGGGAGGGGGAGGGCGCGAAACAGGCGCCGAATCTCCCCAAGTCCAGGCAAAAGGAAAGAGACGCCGAGAGGAAGCTCGAGGCTGCCGCGGAGTTTTTTTTCTCCGGTCTTCCGATCACCCGGAGAGGAGGAAAGCCCAAGTCAAGCAGGACCCGGAGCAAACGCGAGAAGCGCCAAGCTTTGCAAAGGCGTCCGCGTGCGGAGCGGGAAGCGTGTCTGAGGACCCCCTCCTCGTTTCTTCCTTTCGCAAAAGTGCCGGAGGCCGCCCTGGAGAGCGGCTCCTTCGCAGGTTGATCTTCGGCGTAATGAAGTCCCGGATCCGACTATTCCCAGCTAATGGAAGCTGCGCCCTCCCAGCTTTTCTCGCTTGATACCCCGGGGAGATGTTTACAGTAATGAATTCAGCTGATAGCCATCTCGCGCTCTCCGCCTCTCTATCGCTCTCCTGGAGCCCCTCCCATGTTTCTTCTAGTTTAAAGAATGCTTGGAAGGCAGGACCGTAACCTGAAAGCTTTCCAAGAGGTTTAAGATCCTTTTTAAAAAGAGAAAGAACAAAAACACCTATAATCCACCCTTCGCCAATAACCTATTTCATTCCAAAGAGGCGTTTCTGCCCGGATTAATTTCTCTCCGCCCATTTTTTTTTTTTTTTTTGGTGGGCTCATCTTTCAGATAGAATACGGGAGGCACTATTCAGAGCTTTTGCCTTTAACTTCTCGGATTTGCCCCTCACCTGCTCAGAAAATCTTGGAGAAAAAGAACCTCGAAGTTTCCTGGTGTTAACATTTTAAAATCCCCTCACTCCTCCAAAAGCAACAGCCACTACCAGTTAATTTTACCATAATTTTGAGAGGCCAAGAAGAAATTGAAACTTCGTTTTACACTATCCTTTGTAAGAGGGGATTTGCAGCCAGTAGCCTAAACCACATTAGAATAATTATGGTAGAGAAATTGGAGGGGGGTGAATTTCCACCAAAGGGTATTTGTACTCTTAAGGAGCCTGTAGTTCTCTTCTCTCCACTTATCTGATTTTTTTTTTATTTAGCAAAATGAAATCAGGGAATAGACTGATAGGTCCTTAGAGGGGCAGAAATCTCTTTTGTGTTATCTCCAGAAAAACCAATATATATTACCTCTGCATGTGACTCTGAGCCTAACTATAGTAGAAAAATAATAAGGCCTTCTCCTAAATACTATTTTGAGTAAACCAAAGGGGGAGAAGAAGGAGGAGGAGAGACAGGATTTCAATCATCAACTATTCTCCAAACAGGAAAATGAATACATTCACACAATTTTAAAGTTATAGTGCTAAAGCAGGCGACAGACTGGAGAGGTGTACCAGCTAGCTCTTGCTGTTTAAAATATATGTTATTCAGATTGCATGTTTTTACATTACTTTTAGTGCCAGGAGTAGTAGAAATCAAATTGGAGAAACTGATCAATGCCATGTGTCTGAACTTTTGGAGGGATTTTATTTAAGCATTGAAAGGCCCTCACTATTTTTCTATTCATTTTGTCTTCACCTCTATCATTTAGCTTTCTAATCTGATGGACCTAGGGAAACTTGGAATATATTATGTGCATTTTTTTCATAATTTGGCAACTGCAATGTCAAACTAATAAACAGATCAAGTGAAAGATCTATCACAGAACTAACCCTACAGCAATTCTCAAATATTAGGTGTTAGCTAACATAAGAATTCCATGGAAGAGAATTCTGTTAAGTACACTAGAACTTATTTTAAGGAGAGGATGCAAGCAACTCAGAGACATCACTGCAGCAGGCCTAAAACATTCAAACATCTTTATTGTGACAAGCCATTTCTTCCCTGCTGATTTATAACATCATCCTAACATCATTATGGCTGTATAACTGCTTATTCATTATTCTTAGATCAGTGCAGCAATAGTTGAATGACACCATATTTCATTAGTGAGGAAATCGCCAAGGCTGTCTAAACAAAAGTCTTATACGGAGTCTAAAAAAAATGGTTGGCAATATTTCACTTGCCTTTCTCCTCCTTGTAGGTGTTCACACATTCTTCTCACCCAGGTCAACACCACAAACTTAAGTCAGAGGATACTTTCAGTCTGTTAGTAATGTAGCCTAAGAAAAAAACATAGAGATAGAGTCTGCTAACAGAAGAGGCCAACTCTTTGATAGCCATTTGTATATAGCTAGCCAGGCAGCTACAATGGCAATATCTTCACCCTAGGCTAAAGAAAATGCAATCACCAGGAGTATCTAGTATTTCGTGGGCCTAAGTGGAGCTTGCTATAGATCCAAATTGCTTCAGGATTTATATGGACTAGCTGTTCAAGCCTCTGACCTGAGGTAGGTTGGTAAAGGCTTTCTAATAGTATAACACCTACCCCCCCCCCAAAAAAAACCCACAGCCAGGCTTGGAGTGGCATCTGGGCCCAGACATGATCACTAGGTAGTACTGACCGCTCTCCCCAACAAACAGTTCTTGGAGTGCCAGAGAGGCTCCCACTGCCAACGCCACTGTAGAGGAATCCCCGCCCCCCCATGAGGGTCTGACCCACCTCTTGGAAACAAACAGCTGGTGCGCTGCCGAGCCCAAGCAAGGGAGGGGGAGGTTCAGCGAGCTGATACACCCAAGCTCTGTCACTGGGAGAGCCCGGAGTTTGGCGAATGGAGCCGTTCTATCATATGAGCTCGAACTGTGTTTTGCTAGTTCGCAGGACCTTGGAAACGAGGAAGACTGGAGGGCTTGGAATGAGTTAATCGCCGCCCTAGAGCACGAAACCTCTCTTTTGCGGGGGCGGAAAAAATATAATTCGCGAGGCACGAGAGTGACTGATGGGGGAATAAATGGGGTTTATTTTTTTCAGCAGAGTATTGGGATGAAAAGAGGAGGGAGCTAACTAGGGAAAAGGGTCCCAGAAGGATTGAAGCACTGTTTTCCAATTGATTGATTCCGCCCCCTTGTTTGTAGGGTCTTTGTTTCTTTACACATGGGATAAGGGAGGGGGAGTAGTTATTCTCCCGCCTGAATCAATGCCTCTTGCTTGTCTGTAAAATCCTTTTAAACTCGCCCGAGCTGCTTCGCGACTGGATACAGCCAGGTTTCAGCGGCGCAACCAACACGCGTACAACAGATACACACACACCCTGTCTTCGCTAAAAAAAAGCGGTGGTTTAGGAATTGAAAACACAGTTCAGTTAGTGACACATGCCAGGATCCACTCGTCGTGGATCTTTTGGAAGGAGGAAAACAGAATTTTTGGGTAAGAAAAATTGATCCTCTCCAGGCCGGCGTGCGCCGTGTTTCAATGTGCCGAACTGCCCCCCTACCGAACTGAACCTGCCATGCTGAAAAGCAAATTGGCAGTGGCGTAAAAAAAAAAAAAAAGAACCGGGGAGTGAGTGGTTTCAAGAACATCATATAGCACCATCATCCCGCTCATATTACTGGGTGGATTATTCCTCGATTTTGCTAGACGTTCCCGAGAACCTAATCTCCTTTCCCGCGGCCGTTCCTTCCGCAACTTTAAACTTTGGCGAAACGCGTTCCACTAAGTTCTTGGCTTATTCGTTTCTGGATCGCTCGATCGACCTTTCTTCTAGCGGTTGGGGAAAAGGAAGCCCTGCAAGGGAGAGACTTTTTTTTTTTTTAAGGATGCCGTTTTTACCTGTGGTCGCGCGGCTGGTCTGCAGCTGGATGTCACCCAAACCCCACTGGGTCAGGAAGGTGGAGAGCGAAGCATCTCAGTCCCGGCATTGTACTGGTTTAAGGATCGCCGCCAAGGTCTGGCTTGGTTCCATAGTTGGCAAGAGCCAAGCTCGTCCTCATAATCAACCACCACTCCGGGAGAGCGTGAGAAGACGATTCCCCGGAGATGCTGGCTCACCCGGGCGTCCAATCGCAGCGCCCGGCGACGCAAGTCCAGCCGGTACGCTTTGAAATCTTCGGCTCCTTCTTCTTCACTCACAACAACAGATTTCTCCAGAGAGGGTTGAGGTCCGGGGCCTAAAGCAAAACGCGGTTGAACGTCTTCCCAAACGAGCCGGAAAGGCTTCTAAGCGAGAACAGTTGCCACGGCAGCAGCAGCAGCAAACGCCGCCGCCGCCACACGCCGCGTCGCCTGCCTCGAACGCGTAGCGCCTTCCTCGAAACTCCGCCGTCTAGCAAAGAGCGAGAGGCACCGCCGGCCGCTTAACCCTTTGCGGGCGCAACGCAAAAGGAAGAGCGGGGCAGCGTTCCAACGTTCCTCCTGCCTGGGGGGGACGGGGTTTTGTTATGACTGGCCGCACCGCGTCTGGGGAAGGCTTGTTTGAGGAAGCGGCACACACGCACGCAAACGCGCTAAAGGGGGGGGGAGACAGGGGAGAGGAGGAAAGTAAAGCCCCTCCCCGGGTAGAATTGCTTTGCGGATTAGCCGCCCCTTCTTCGGAAGGAAGGAAAGGAAAGAATGAAGGGCAGAGCTGCACTGTGTCTTAACTCTGGAGGAGGGGAGATCGAATGACATCACGGTTTAATGAACCTTCCCACCTGCTCAATTTTTCGCCCCACTATTTTTTCACCCGGGCGGTTGTGCACCCGGTGAAAGAAAACAGTTCCGATCATTTTCCGGGACTAATTTGCCCGCAAATCATCGGAGCACGCGCCAAAATAGTTTTGCGAAGGTGTTTTAACTCAAAGGTCTCCCTTTCTCTCTTCCGAATAGACCTAAGAGGAAACAAAGTTTTACTTTGTTCTGCTTCGCTGTTCGGAGATGAGATGCGAATTAAAAATTGATCGCCGGGTCGAGTACACCTTGGAAACCCCTTTGATGGCGCTATCTCGTTCCTACTCTACATTTTATACAGTCTCATATCTATCCCTCCATTTATAGAGCAACTATTGTTTTCCTGCTTAATCCTGCTCCAAGCCATAATTGTTAAGCTTCTTGCATCCTTCCCCTACCAGCACCCCTTCACCCACCCACCCCATTTCTGGTCAGTCTGCGCATACTGTACGGCCACGTTAACTTTGACGTGCCAAGAGTTTGGGGGGGGGGGAGGTAAATGCTCCCTAAGCATCACTTTGCTCCAAATTACATTATACTTCATTGGCCAGCCTGGACATCAAGGAGAGTCTGGAAAAGGCTTTCTCCAATTTAGCCACAACTGAATTCAGAGACAGGAAGATATTCCACTCTGTAAACCCCGCGGCACGCATCTTGTTCCTTTCGATGCCTCTTTTCCCAGCCTTATTCGAACCGGAGACAAGAAGGTGGCTTTGCCTCTCGGGTATGTTGGGCGCGCGCTCGTGTTTTGTGTACAATTTTGCTGGTGTGGAAGCGTCGAATTCCTCAATTCCTTCGAATTTTATCGTCTCTTAAAAAAGAAAAACGGGAGAGGCAATTGGCGAAGAAATTGGACGCAAGGAGGAGGCTGTTTGCAAGAAGGTGCCTTGGGAGGCGAAAGGGGAAGGGTGGAACGCCAACGACCCAGGCGATCGGAAGGACCGTCGCTGAGCTTCCCTTGGGAAGGGCGGGAGGGAACTGTCCCGTTGCCCTCAAGAGGTTTTATCCGAGCTGAACCTCTTCTAGCAAGACCGTGGAAACGACGGCGGGATTGATACGCACGGCCGCTGCACGAAAAGGACAAGGGAAGAGACCCGAGCGGGAGCGCGGGGTTTGAACCGCCGCGCTGCAGATTCCTCGGCTTAGCCAAGGTGGCAGTAGAGTATCAGAGGCTGGAGGAACGCGAGTTCGGCTTTGCAGTTCGCAGTGCCGGGGCGAGCCGACAAGCGAGGACATGTTCGCCTTAGCTGCCGAGCTTCTTCCCCACTCCTCTTTTGCTTTCCTGTGGGGTGATTTATCTCTCTAGATTTCTCCCTCCGCGCTTTTTTTTTTTTTTTTTTTGGTATTATTCATCTTGGCTATTGCTCGATCATGTAGCTTTCTAAACTCCGCTTTAACACAAGTGCTGTTTTGTACTGCAATTCTTGTTCGGATCTTTTCCGTAGTTGGAAAAATCACTCAGGAGAGGTCGAGCCGGATGTTGGAACAAGAGCGGGCGATGTGTGACCCTCTCGATATTGCTGAACTCCTATAGGCTCTTGCCATTATCCATAAGAAAATCAGCCAAGCTGCATGCAGAAATGGATCAAACAGGTGCTCTTTGTTGACCGATTAATCAAGTCATTCATAAGGCTGCAATCGTCTCTATACAAGCTCTCTTGGGTTTAATCCAGCCCAGCTTTCCCAGAGCCATCCAGTCTCTTCGTTCAAGGGGAAGAAAAAATAAAAGTCAGTTCTACTTTTTTTTTTAATGTGGAAGAAGAATGAACCCAGACCAAATGTAAAATAATAATGTGAAATTCAATCAGCATGTAAAGCAGAGAAAGAAATCTGTGTCTTTACAGCTGTGGGAGAAACTACCCTTTCTGGCAATTCACAATAATGACTAGGCTGGAGATGCAGCTCAGCCCTCTGTCCCTACCCCTGATCTAATGATGAGAAAAATATTGTTACCATGGAAATGGAGTGCATGTGTCACTGTGTGGGGAAGGGGGACCTATCACTAAAGATTTTGTAAATTAAATAAATAAAGGAAGGCTCTAGTAAAAAATAAGCTTTATTCAAAAGGCTGCCAACTAAATGATATCAACTGATCTTCAGCTGAATTAAAAATCAGTGGAGCTTTCCAAGTATGGATATTTTGCACTAGATGAAAGCAGATCATACATGTTTTATAAATAAATCTATATTTTTATTAATAGCTCTGCTATTGAGCAGATGAACTAAGGACTGTTTTCTGTTTCTGTATTTGGCAAACAAGTAAAAAAATATGCATTATTTCTATAAACAAATCTAAAATTTGGGAGAAAACCAGGATTAATATTGCATTGCACTTAAATCAGAACACAGAATCCTAATAATAACTTGCAGCATCACTGGAGGTTTTTTAAGAGGAGATTTGGACAGCCTTTTTTCATATAGGGCCTCCTGGTTGAGAAGGCAGTTGGACTAGGAGACCCCCAACTTCCTTCCAACTCTGTTATTCTGTTAAAGCAAACTTCTAAACTCAGCCTCATCTATATTACAGACTTTACACTGGTTTTGCTTCCATGCTAAGTTAGATCAGTTACAAAAGTAATGCTTGGTTAGCATTAAGCTTGGTTATTTTTCCTCCTTAATGACTTACATTGCTTTTTTGAATCTAGAGTCAATAACCATATGAAGTACACTGCGGATCCACAGTATAGACTGTGAATGAAATAATCCAGGCCAAGCTTGTTGTTCTTCATATAGTGGTTTACTGACAGAGATTCTCAGGATTTTAAACAGAAGGCTATTTAAACTCTCTCTAGAGACTGAATGTAGGCCCTCTTGCATGCTTGGCAAGATGCTTGTGGAAATGCTTCCTACCACTTATATGTTCCTTCTCTCACTACCACTTGTGTTCTCCTAATTGCTGTTCCTCACATTTCCCCAACAATAGCACTAGCTCTTTTCCTTTATTTTCTATCACTTTGGAAAAGCATCTTAGATGCACTGTAAGAACATAGCTGCAGTCTTAGGCATTCAGGAGAACAAACGGGTGAAGGACAGAACCAGACCTCTCTGGATCTCGAAAAATATGTGACTATGAACTTGGATTCATCATGAAGCAGCATTTCATGTGAGCAGTCCAATGGGGAAGATTTGGGCTGTTGGCATATGGAAAATGGGTAAGAACTATGCATCTATTCTATTGAACTCAAAACTGAGAAACGGAACCCAAGAAACATGGGGAAAAAACCAAGTCTTGCCCTGCCAGCAAAAACTGTCCAATTGGGGAACCATATTTCTTTCTTTAGCAAGGAGAACTAATGATACTTATCTTGCAGGTATCAATAATGACCTATTGAAGTCAGTGAATCTTGGCATTTACTTGAATGGTTTGAAATAAATTATAGCAATGATAAAAATAAACAATAATAAAAACATAAAAATAAAATGTTGCAAAAAAAAAAAACTCCTACTTTGCACAAAACTCCTGTTATTTTTATTACATATGATGTAATTCTTGCAGTTTTATTTCAAAGGGAGCCTCAGTGAACACAATGGTACAGCCTCCTGAGATACCACTTTCAGGTTTGGGTTATTCATACAAAATCTCCTTAAGAATGACTTGAGGCATAAGTCTATAGTAAATCCCCAAAAGACAGAAGATTGTCTTGCTACAAATCAGGCACTTCACTTCGACGTCATTGGCAACTTCTCTTTTTATTTAGTCAAACAAACCATTCTTTAAATTGAGTCATCTTCGAATCTTGGCAACGGAAACAAAAATTATGCACATTACTGACCTTTTATAAAAAAAAAAAAAAATATGTGGAAAAAAGAGGTAGAGAATGAGAAACCTGATATAGGAATATAAAGAAAGTATATATAAAATATATTTTCTGACTCTCCGAGGATTAGCTACTTCATTAGTCTAAAGCTGTCCAGGGCCCTCTCTGGGATCTGAAGAGCCACCCACACTCACCATTTTAAAGCAAAGAGCTTCTTGGTCAGGCCTTTACAGATGAGTTCATGAAGATTCTAATTGGATTAAGGATAATTGTAGCTGCCTTTTAATTAGTTTTAATGGTTGTTTCTAGCTGCCTGGAACATTCCAGGAATAGAAAGATGGGTAAAGATTTAAATAAGGCAAAAGAAGGTCTGTGAATCAAGTGCAATTTCTAGCAATTTTTTTAAAGCAAACTTTATTGAATATATAATTAAAATAAATGAACAAACACATACACAACATAGAAAAACAAAGAAAAAAAAAGAACAAATCAAGGACAATTCCATTAACAGTTTCTGGTTCCTTATCATTATTGGTGTCATATTTACAATTAAATCTTAATGCAAGTATATACTACCAATGTAGCTTAATCTCCTTTACAGTTTAATAATGTTTACTATTATATTATCTATCTTTGTTCTACCCAATGTACCAACATTCCCAACTCTTGTAATATTCTGATGATTTTTTATCCTTAAGTGTCTAGCAATTTCATAGACAAATCTGTTTAGTTTTCTTAGTAAAAAATACAGATATGGTTTACTAATGCCTTCTTCCAGGATTAATTCATAGTTACAGCTACCTGATAATCTCTCCTCCAAGTACTAATAAATATATTCCTTCTTATCTTTTTAAAATCAGCTAGGTGCTGTTGCTACAAGTAATCAGCTACAGGTTTCAGTCCTAGGCTGAAGAGAACAAGGTGTAACGGAGAAGGGCTTAGCATACTGAAGGGAAACGAAGACAAACTGATAGAT